GGACACCACTGCTGTCACCTGCAGCGTGACCACGTTGAGGAAGGTGCCTTGTGTTTGCTTGAGGGGCCGGGCCTCCTTTCACCTGCCTCCTCATGCTGCACATGTGCTGGCCTGCAGGCCCTTCCCTGCTCTTGGTCCCCAGCGTGGCTGGCCTTGGTCCAGGCAGCCCTCGCCGTGACGYTCACACGACAGGTTTAGGAAGAAAATACTCCCCTAGCCCACCTTGTAGACGTATAGGGCCCGCGTATAGGGCCCAGCCCTTGTATAAACGTGGGCGAGCTGATGGGATCCAGGGCTTGACTGCAGTGATCTTTACTGTCTCTCACTGGCGTACCTGGTTATTCATAATAATGTGACAGGAAGGCAGTGACGCTTGCAAGTTGCACAGAAAGCAGCAGCTTTTGAGAACAGTGGTCCTAGTGATTCTTACTTTATTTCTAGATTGCAACCACTCTGGAAAGTTAATTAAAGCTTTCCCAATTCTATATTGCCCCATGCATAAGAAGAGATTGCTTTAGCTAGCAGTGCATGTAGATACGTTCTTGCTGGTAAGGCTGCAGTTCTGACTGGCTGTTGGTCCATTAGCACCATCAATTCTCATCCACTTATCTGGAAATGTGGTTTTGACCAGGCACAAAATACTATGACAGGCAAAGTATAGGTCAAAATATGCCAGAATTTTGATATTAATTTGTATTTTCATTTTGATAACACTGTTTAAAAGTATGTAATTTATCTGTATTCCAATAAAGCTTTCTGTGAGATTAGCTTATGTATGTATACTTAGAAACACATCTGAGGATTTAGAATGTGTTTAAGGGGAAAGTATTCTCCTAAAGGAATGTTTCTGAACTACAAATATAGAAAATCTACATTGTGGTTCTTGCCCAGTGTGTTACCCTGTACTCTCAAGTTGTGCTTTGGGACTTAAAAATTTTGAGTAATGTGTTTCTGAGCAAACATCTGAGATGAATAAATGTTAAATAAGAGAGCCTGAGAAATATTCCTGTTTCTTCTGGAAATGCATTTATATATATATATATTATATATATATATATATACACACACACACTCATATATAATATGTATATATAATATATATATATATAATAAAAATACCTATTTCTTCATCCTTCATCACTAATGTCAGTAGCTAAGGTTTTTCCCTTGAAGTAGTGTCAAGATCTTGTTATGGTCTTTGGTAAGWAGCAAGGTATGTGGAGAAAGTAAAAATGATTTGAACAGATCTGGCTTTTTCCATGGTATATAGAAGAGGAGAGTATTACATAATTCCTGTGCTCCTAAACAACAACTTATGCAAGAGAAGGTGATAAGGGGGTGATGGTCTAAAGCTACACCACCTGGGGCTGATCTTTTCACAGGAAGAATGTAGCAGCTGCCTTAGTAGTTTTTCTTCTTGATTTTCAGTTTCAAAGTACAAATAAAGAATAAACATCTGTTTGGGCCTGCAGAGTTAAATAAACATCATAAGCAGATGGTTTTGTGACTTTAAATTTCCCGTAAGAAGTGTGCATGAAAAGAGGGTGTAAATAACAGCAGAAGGGAGAATTGCAGAATCCTATTATCCTTACTCTTTTCCCTCCCTGGCCCCTGCAGGCTTTCACAAAAGAGGGTTGAGCAATTTGATCAGGAATAGCAGAGTAGATATTGAGACATTGTAAGGAAAATATAGAAAATGATCAAAAAAACCTCATTAGCTCAACTGAATCATGGAGTAAAAACTTAATCACGATTATGGTAATGGCATTGTCTCTAACAAGCAGTAAAACACCTTTTGAAGACAGAGCTGCTGTAAAATAACTTTATGGAAAAATTCATTTTCCAACTCTTTTGGGGTTCAGTAAAATCCSTCATTGATTTTCCCCACCTTATTTCTTCACTGGGCACAAACAATTTTATTAATTAATGAACTGTCTTAATTGTTCTCCCCAAGTCATAGACATGTAGACATATAACCGTGCATTGTTTGCTTTTGTGTAATTAAATTCTTGGTTTTATAGTGCATTTTATCCTCCTGTTCCAAACTTTGTGTTTTGGAGAAATGTCTTTATGCCTGCGGGTAAAGAAATGTGAAATGACTCTTACATCCCACAGGGAGCTGGGATTAAAAAATAAAGATAATTGGGTTCTCAAGTCTGTGCAAGTACTTTTTTCATCTTACAAGTGTCATAGACATGTTGTGGCTCTACAAGCTAAAATCACCTTGGCTTATTTCTGCCCTATTCCTATTTTTTTTCCCCGTAGGCTTTGTGTGTTTGTTTGCTTATGTAAGATTTATGCAAAGACTAAACCCTGTGGTTTGCACTTGAGAAAGATATCCTTTGTGGTGCATCCCTAAGTGCAGGATCTCTTGCTGCTGCTCTGCCTCCCCTTCTCTTCTTGCTGTCTCTGCGGCCTCCTTTCCATCACACAACTAGATAAGTGGTCTTCACCGCACTGCTGTGTGCGTCTGAATTGATGGATCGTTTCCCATTCCCTCTT